ACTCCCCTGCACAGCAACGTTGAACCGAAACCACCATGTTATTGTTGGAAGAGTCTCCTTCTGGTAAGTTCCTTCTGAGAGGTTCATGTGAACAAATGCAGGGTGCTAACAAGTGCTAACATTTAGCCCCCATCATCGTGACTGAGTTTGTTTTTTCCCGCACACACCAGCAGGAGTTGATACTCATTGTGCAGAGGGCAATAGCCGCGCAGATTGCCGGTGCTTCCAACATTGTTGGAGCAACTTATGTGTGACCTCGTAAAGAGTTTGCCAAGGGGGGATGTAGCTGGATTCCTCTGAAATGCCGAAGTTTGATCCGGTGCTACTTAAATCTCGGGTCGACGCCAATTTGTTTGGTCGGCTTTCAGGCAAAAGGGGAACCCAGTTTGGGTGCGAGCCGTGCACGCTTAGAGGTCCAAACCCCAACAAAGCAATACCCTAAATACACAGGTTGGAAAGCGGCAAATTCAGTGGACTGCGGTTGGGGTTCTGATGGAAAAATGCAGTCTTGGGCGTCTTGGGTACTGGAAACAGACCCTAGGAGTCCGCCTATCCAAGCTCTAGGCAATGTACGGGAGAACCAACAGGTTGAGTCCTAAAGTTTCTTTATAAGGCCCTATCAAGCTTGCTGGCAAGGATTGTACCTCTGGAGTTGCCCTTGTTGAAGCAATACTGGTTTTGACACCTCTTCTTTTCTTGAACAAGGGGTGCTGGTGTTAGCCATGATATAAGCAACGGGGGTGGCACGACCCTAGCTCCCATTTGCCCAGAGCTTGGGAACCCCATTGCGGATGAGAGGAGCCCACTTCTTTGCGCCTTCGGCGAGTAACAACCCAGACACCTCGAAGCTCGATAAAGGCTCAAGGGAATTCGCATATGATCATCTTGCCAGGCATCTCTCGTACAGGCATCTGTCTGTCAACTTTCTTCGGAGGAAATGACCATGTCCCTTTTAATTCAACCTCGAAAAGAGGTGCCGATGATGCTTCCATTGAATATTCATGTATTTTCCCTTGTTCATGTATTTTCCTTAAAGGGAATCAATTTCACTACTGGACATATATAGGTTCTCGTATTTTCTCCAAGTGGCTAGGCTTAATTAAGCAGCTACTGCACTGGGGCCCGGTCTGGGTTTCTCGCTGGACGCCGACCGAGGCCCAGAATCGGCTTTCTGTCACTCTGGACGAGTCGGGAGAGTCTTGCTCTGTGCGCACGGACTGTGCAGACGGGGGCACGCGCTTCACCAAGAGGACCGGCCAAAGCGGGAGGTGTTTCTAGGCTTTTGAAAGTGAACCTCTGGAGTCCTCACAATTACTTCGGGGGGGTCGAAGGTAGAGGAGGGCCCTTTTGAGACTGGAATGGTCTGAAATATTGACCATGAAGTCCTCATTCTCATCATTCTAGTTTGCCGGGGCCTTGCCCTCTTCCATGCGCTTGTTGAAAGCCGACACTTTCCACTCTGCAAGCTTGCTGGCTGCTTTCCCCTTGCTTTCTTTGTTTCTCTCCAGCCCTTTTGCGAGTACCCTCATTTGAACGCTTCCCCATTCTTGGATATTCTTGGCATGGTTCAACGAGTTTTTGTGATTCTGTGCCGTAGTTGGGCTGCGAAAAATATTCCTTGGCATGATTTAACTATAGTTTGCTTTTGTGGTTCTGTTCGTTCTAGTGTTTGCCCACAAGGATCGGACAAGCCAAAGTCGACTTAGCAGAAGAAGCCCTCGGACCTTACCTCTTGGTTTTTCGACGGAGGCCGACCGATCAAACAAAAAGCCAAAAACGGATGCAGTACCAACCATCTTTTGCACCGGTTATGGATGAAGCCCTGGAATATGTTGGCATAAACATGGATAAGCCCCAAATTAAGCCAAGCGAATATATAGGCATAAACATGGATAAACCCCTGGTTCGAAGTCGACTTTTGGGAGTTCCCCCGATTCATTTGCAGCAATGACGTACTCATATGGCTGCAGGCAAACAACAAGTTTCCGACTTGTGAGCAAATGCCAGCGTTCATGGACACGGAGATTAGCTTTAGGCCCCCAAATTCCCCACAGATCAACAATGTGTTTGCGGTCTGCGTGAAACAGCAGCCAGTGAAACTTGAGGACAGGGTTGTGGGAATACATGATACCCCTGGTTGGCAGTTGCCCAGTGACTTTGGCAGAAATCGGCGACCCTTTTTGGGTTGACATTTTTTAGTGATTTAGTGTGAAACCCACCAAAGAAAACGAACAAGGGTGCCACGGAACAACTGGGAGAACAAGGATGATGCTTCATTACTGCGATACCAGCGAATTGCTTGCTCTTGGCCATAAACATAGTTTGTGGGGTTGTGCGGGACTTTGAAACGAAATGAAGAAGTGATGAAATGATGGTAATGTTACTCCCCCGAAGTGAGAAACTAGGCAGTGACACCTCAGGATGCTGACGTATGACAGGGAGTACGACTGCGTGATGTGGGGCAAGACTTACTACATGACGCTGAGCAATGATCCCTGCATCATCATGTGGAAGCCTTTGCAGGGGGGGAAGCCGTCCCTTGGCTCAGGTGAACATCACATGACCCTCGTATGTCAGGAGGTCATTCAGTTGTACAATGAAGCACTCGCAATGATGGGATTCTGGACCAGCTGCCTTTTGGGGGGGACAAAAACGATCCAAGGTGTTCATAGTTGGTGCCTGTTTTGCTGACGAGCCAACACACACGAGATCATCCCCTACAAATGTTTATTCGATGCTGTATGCGGGTGTTCCGTATTCATTTGGTTGGGCCGTTGCGAGCTGTTATGTTTGGTGTGACCACAGCAATTTTTGAAATGGTTGAAACACGACGAAAGCTTCCCCACCAAGTAGTTGCCAGCAAGTGGATTACTTTGTGAAGACTCAACAAGCGCCAGACCTAAATGATGGGGCATCGATGTCTGGTTCCCCTTTTGGGCAGGGGGACTCCCTGGTCTTGCTGGTCGGGAATGAGGGAATGAACCTGGGGGTTCCCTTGAAAGAAGCCAAATCGGGGACGGTTTATAGGGTTCATTCCATTTCTCATTCCCTGCATCTCTCGCACCAGCAAGTCGTTTATAAGTCCCCCGTTGGAGTTCACCTTGTTGGTTATAACACTGGCTCATTTACCAACTCGGCAACGAATTCATCCAATGGTTTTCTCATGACTCACTTGCCCATTTCAGTTTGTGGCTGGTGGTTTTTTTCTCTTCGCGGCCCGGGCGCGGGACTCGGGGACTCGCTCGCTCGGTGCTCGGGGCCCAGGTTCAGCTGGCAGTGGTGTGGCCAGAACCAGGCCGAGGCCTCTCGAGCCCAGCTCGCGCGGCAGACGGCCCGCGCCTCGGCCCGCGCCGCGCGGGAGGCTGTGCCGCCGGTGCCAGCGCCGCGGGGAACGTGGAAGGCTGAGCCGGAGCCGGTGAAGGTGGAGAGGCTTGGCGCTTGGCAACGCGTGTTCCCGATTTTTTTTGCTTAGGTCTGTAGCTCAAGAAAAAGAATCCATAGGTGTCCTTGTTCTTGTTTTGGTAGAACACAGATGGCGATTCCTGGTCGACAGGTTCTTTCATCCACCAGGGCCATCTATTCCCCCAAAACGACACCCATGTTCGAGAGTCATGTTTTTTGTGGGGGGGACTACCCTTTTTGGGGTAGTTTGAAAGAGAAGTCAGAAGGACACACTCGCCAATGTAGGGGATGGGGACTACAGTTTTAAGAACCCCCGCATGTTGGAAGTTGTGCAGGTAACCAAGGGTTTGCCAGCCTTGAAAAACCAGAAGCACCATGGCGAAGGGTTGCCTACTCTGGGGTCACTGGAATCCACTGGGATTGTTTTCCGCTTGCATTGGGTTGGCAATCTACCCCCCTCCACCCGACATCACGAAAGGTTAGGGTCCTAGGGCCCCCACCGCCATTGGGATCGATCCACTGGTAGGGCGCCACAACTTAGGTTGGCTGTTCGGATTGGCTTGGGGAGTTCGAAGCCAGGAGAAGCCGGTTTCAGTTTGGTTTTCTTTTAACTCCAAGCCAAAAAGGCGACCAGCTCAACAAAATGCGAGGCCCATGTTCGTTTGACCCCAAGTCGCCATGATTTCGCCAGGTTCTGCCAGGGGCTTTCAGAGCCGGAACGAACATATTGTGTGTTCACCGGGAAAAAAACAACTCCGAGCGGGTCCTCCAAAAGCCTGGGTTCCATGATATTCTTCGCATGATATTCTGCGGGGAAGGGGGAGGGAGGTAAACTGGGGTCAGGGGTCTTTGCTTAGAAATAGAACGGCCAAAACGTATGTGTTGCCCGCGACAGCCCGGAAGCGGGTCCCCGAGACCTCCAAAAAGCTTGGCAGGCGCAGCAAAAACACACTTCCGAGCCCCCCTGACCCCACCCCACCTCCATGCTCCATACCCCCTTCATGGAGCGCGGCGACTTTTGCTGGTTATATAGTGCTATCATCAACACAACCCTAAACCTAAACAAGACAAGCCAGCCTCGCATGCGCCGGACAGCCAGCTCCAAGCAAACCTAAACCCTAAAAACCCTAAACCTAAACCCTAAAAACCCTAAACCTAAGCCCTAAAAACCCTGGAAACCCTGAACACCCTAAACTAAACCTTAAAACCCCTAAACATGGGGCAAGGTGGGTAATGGATCGCAACCGAAATTCGTTCCTGAAAAACCCATCTGTTGTTCTAGTGCTACCTTCCCCGTTCTTTCCAGGGATCCTTCTTTCTAGAAAGCCTCGAGGCCGGTTTTTGAAAAGAACGATGGTTGAAAAGAATGGGGACACAACCCTTCGAGTAGGATGCTAAGCCCCCAACCACCAATTCGGGACAGGGTGACTTGCTTTCGAAGCTAAGGATCTCCTTCGGGAAGGCGAAAGCTGCCTTGAACCAGGTGGTGGGCGAGTGGGTGGATGAGGCCAACAGTCAGAGCCTTGCCTCACCGTTCTTAGCATCTGGGTGGTTTCCAAGCTACCTTCAAGGGTGAACAGGGTTTCCCAGAAAGGAGGGTTTTCAGTGGTCCCTATCCCGAATCCAAGTAAATTCACTTAGGGGGGTCAGAATGGGGGTGTCTTTTTTTTAAGGATACCTTTTTGTTTGTGGTTTTAAAGGCAAAGCACAAGGACAACCACAATGCTTTTCTTGGGGGGCGGGTGGGTTCCACTAAAAGAAGACGCACCCAAATGGGCCAAGCACATCTTAGGAGGAACCAAGAAACTTCAAGCCGTAGCATCACCTTTGGGCCACTCGACGGGTATTTTGTTTCTTGGCGTGGTGTTTTGCGGCAGGTTTCTATACGAGTTTCCTGGAGTTCTAAGGTGCGGCTCGAGAATCATCGGGGATTCCCTCAAAAGCGGTGGGCAGCAATGCCCACAATGACGTCCATTTTAAAGGGTCTCCCAATAAATACCATACCCTATTGAAGTGTTCGGAAGGCTTTGCTAGGTCCCCCAGTAGTGCCCTAAAATAGACTACAGACCAAAAGTTGGTCCCCTTATTCTAACTTCTCTACGGACCTAGTCTGTTACACAATCCTCCGGGCAGATGATGGTGAAAGGCCTTACTGAAGCTTCCGGCTCTGAGAGTCTCTGAATTGATTTCCCCTGGAGCCATGCTTCTACCCCAAATTGCCAACGATTTTCCCGGAGCGATCCTGGTACGACTCAGGGCCGTATGTTCAAACAGGGTGGTTTCAAAACGGTTATGTTCCCAGTTGTCCGGTTCCTGAGCTTCTTGGGTTTTTAGGGTTTGGTGGTTGTCATTTAACCCACTAAGAGTTAGTCACTTTTAGCAGGGGATCCGAAAACGGACAGCCCAGTTTAACAAATCCTAGGAGCAGGTTGCAAGAAGCTTAGTCTTCCATTGGCTGACAGGGATATTTGTAGTTTTCCTGTTGTTTCGAAAGGGAATGCTTCCTCATTTTGTCCAGGGGACTTATATAAGTAATGGAAGAAGCAAGGGGCACCGCAAAAGGCTTCGATTCGCCTAGAAAGTGGTGAGCCACCTGGGTGTGGGTCAAAATTAAACCACCAGGGGACGTCAGGTTGTAGTTGAAGTTTCCATTTGCCAGGGTTCCAGATTACATATTTTTGACCCACAGCCACCTGGGTTTCCAAAGAGTTGCAACCACAAAACTCCGCGGCTCCTCGGCTCTGCCAGGTACACGGTGTCCCTGGTGGAGGCTGAGCAGTGCTGCAACGTGAAGACCGTCCGCAAGGACCCTGCGATTCGGCGCTTTCTTTTGTTTTCTTATGAGATCGTGGCTGATCGTTGTTTGCAACGGGTGATCGAGGGCGTGACCCAAAAACCCGCAAAAAACCCGAAATTGGGCTTGCTGAACCAGGCACCGTAAAAGGGGCAGGGAGAGAAAGGCCCAATGCCCAGGCGTACTTGAATTGCCGCAATTGGACTGCGGTGCTGGTACTTTAAACCACATTTTAAACCTTGACACCCGGGGAATGCAAAGGTCACCAGTGTTTTTGGGTTGAAAACTACTTAACCAGATTTTCTCATGAGGGTATCAAGGCATCCTTTGGGCGACAGCCAAAGTAGGGGGGTGTATGAACCTCCCAAGAAAAAGCCTCCGGGGGGCAACCGACGTAAATCGAATCTGAGCCTCGGTTTCTCTCTCCAGGTCCCACGAGTAGTTTCCTAGGGGTGATTTCCCCAAAAGCAAGCCAAAGGGTTCCGCCCAAAAATAGGCATGCACAGTTGCTGTTTACCTACACCCCTTTACCCCCCCCCCATAGGTGAGCAACATTCTAAACCCGAAGGATAGGAGTCACCCGAAATCGGTGCGGAAGTCTGCTGTTTTGATTCTTTACAATGGGTTTTGGGTAGAGTACCGGCTTTGATTATAGCTCTGGTAGGTACTCCCGCTTATGAGGGCGATATACCTGGACCCTCAAACTACCCTGAATCAAGGGAACACAAGTCCAGGTAGAATTATGCATGTATGTAAAATATGTGTACATATATATACTACACTATATTATACAGTATTATGTTGTATTATATTATACTATATATTATATAATATCATATTATATTATATGATGCTATATTATGTTATATTATGTTATATTATGTTATATTATGTTATATTGTATTATTTTATATTATACATTATATATTGTACTCTATTATATTATATGTATGTATATATATATATATACATCTACACGGCGGCGTTACGGGTTTCACCCCCCTGGGACAGCAGCACCCAGTTGAATCAATTGACGGCTGGCATGTCCAATCGAATTTGTAGGGCGCGTTGGCCGCGTTGGGGCACCAAACCTCAGAGACTTCCGAATGCACCCGCTCGCCTGGTGCTGCAAAGCCGTGCGCGGCTTTGCTTTTGTGGCGTTTTGTGGGCCGTTTTTTGAAACGCCAAATCAATACCCTGGGGTTCAGTTGCCACCTTTTAAGCAATGGGGGTTCATATATTTCACCACCATTGTTTACCGTTCAGGATTGTCATCATCTACTGTAATTTGGGTCCTTGCCTTTATGCAAATCGGTTGAACCCTACGGAATGCCCGTGCTTTGGCATAGGTCCTAAGATGCCCTTTTGCCCTTCGGTGGGGTTTCCTGCTTTTAGGCTTTCGACAGCTTCCAACTTGGTCGGAATGCGCAGACATCGTCTTACGTTTTGATCCGGGTTGGATCAGTCTAGGTGGCCCGTTTAATGGTCTCTAATAAACGGGGTCCAGCTTCTGCCAAAGACAATCATGCGTGTAGAGCCTGAACACCCATACAGGGTAGCCCTACCTGTGTGTCCCGTGTTGGCTGTTTTCAGCATCATTTGTCGGTTGCCCATTTCAAGTGAATTTCCTTGGGTGGGGTTTCTGCAATGCTTGATTCTTCCAGACAGTCATATATATATATTATACGTTTTGGCCCAACATGGAGATACTCATGGGTTTATTTTGACCATATCTATTTGACCCGTGGCCGGGTGACTTGTACAGGGGACAACTGAACAGTTCTAGGTTTCTCTTTTCCAAGCTTCAACTTCCAAGTGATGTGGTGGAATTCTCGAAAAAAGCACGGTGAATACTGATGTTTGGGAAACAACCCGCTTCCGTTTTGAGCACCCCCCAACAGCTGTTTTTTCCCATGCCCAAAAGTCCCAAGTACTGTCCAAACCGCAGTGGTTGGGGGGTGCTGGTGTGAGTTGCGAACTACCCTGATAGAAGGGGGAAGATGGCAACATCTTGGGGCGGATCCCGCTTCCATGTTTCAGGGTTTGAGGGGGATCCCGCTTCCATGGGGAAAGTTTCTGGCCGAAAAAGTCTCGGGCTGCTCAAGAGGAACACAAAAAGCCGTGAGCCATTCGCAACGGCATGGTGAGCTTCTGGCCGAACAACTCGCGGGGGTTTTGGGGAAAAAAAGCGAGAGCCTCGGGGCCCTGCGGCCTTGCGGCCAGGACGGGCACACGAGGTTCTCTCCGGGGAAGATCACCTACAACCCGGTGCACAACTGGGTGACTTGGGAGCTGTCCAAGCGATCGTTTATCGGGGTTCCCCCTTTTTCCATCGGCGCTTTTTGGAGCCATACTGCTGGGTTGCTTTTAGGGTGCCCTTTTTCTTGCGGTGCTGTTTTGGAGCCACGATGGTGTTTTGGTTGCCTTTTTTTTAGTCTTTCAGGGTGGCCTTTTTCTATAGGAGTGATTGTTTCAGCCCTTCACGGTCCATTATTATCACCTTTTTTCCTAGGGCGATTTTTTTCCAGGGTTGACCTGATGGTCGATTCCGGGCAATCTGTTTGACCCTCTTTCTTTTCAAGAGCCGGATCCGCTTTCCCCTGGGTTTCGGGAAAGCGTGGGAAGGGCAGGGTCTCGTGAAATTCAGAAATGCCAACAACACGTTTTGCAGGATTTTCCAAAAGGAGAAGGACAACTCGTGCAAGGAGATCTACCTGGAGTCTCCATGACACTTAAAAATGGTTGGTCATGACCCCTTTCTTTTGGGTAATAGGGGTAATGACTCGTAATGACTCGTAATGACCAACCATTTTTTAACGGTCCTGGTCATGGAGACTCTTTGGGTAATGACCAACCACTCTTTGAGGGTCAGAAGGAGACTCCAGGTATTTTTTTTTGCCTTCGGTTGTGTCGCTAAAGAATTTTCGGGGCAGAGGTGATGTGGGCCGCCAGCTACTACCTGGCGCTCGAAAACCACGAGCCGGGCACGCTTTGCTGGACGGGCCGTCGAGTCGCGTTGAGTCGGAGTCGGCCGAGTCGGAGTCGCCCGACCGACGAGTACTGACCTTGACTGCTATTGGGTTCTTTAGACTTTAACTTTTTGGGAAATCAAGGGGTTTTCCACAAAACCCCCAAAGAGAAAAACTTTTTGCAGGGGGGTCAACAGCAACCAAGTGACTAGATGTTTCGTGGCTAGCAATCCGGTCCCTTGGCTTGTTAGATCTGTTCAGATTGGTGAAAGGTGGGTTTCCTGTATTTAACCCGCTCAAAGAGGTTGTCACTTTTAGCAGGATCCGAAAACGGACAGCCCAGGTTTGGAGGTGGTTCTCCTTCGTTTAGAGGGTCATCCTTTTCAGGATGTCGCTTTGAAGATGTCGTATGCTGAATTAAAGTTATTACTTCTTGTTTTGCTTCTTTCTTCTTATTTTTTTTTGGCGGGGTGTCTTGTGGGTAATATTGAGTATGCAATTTGAGGATGTCGCTTTTCTCGCGGGAAGCACCTCAACTACCTGGGCGGCCTCTAAAGCAGCCCCGAAAGTGTTTCCCCTCAACATAAAGTCATGCACACAAACAGACGCACTTAAGAGGGTGCTCAGTTGGAACAGGAGCCCTCAAAATCCCATTTTGGGTCAAAAAAAACAACACAACCCCAAGTTGTTCAAGAAAACTCCGAAGGAAATGCGTACCTTCCCGTCATGGTAAATCCCTGAGGTAGTGCAAGGCAAGATTATTGAAATCCTGGCATTGTCCACAGCCTGGTCCATCTATTCCTCTTTTCCTCACCCCTCCATCAATTAGACCAAGATAAAGTGTAGCTAAGTGCAGGCTTGGTCTGGCTTGGGTACGCTTGCTCGGTTTGGGTTTGAACAGAGAAAGCACCTCCTTCATGGAGATTTGCCAGGCACCAATAAGGTTAACCCGCAGTGAGATGTGGAGAGGTGAGAGTGGGACGCCAGAGACGCAATAGGTCCAAAACCTGTTCCATCTTCCCCCCCTCACCTTCTGCCAGAGTAATTCCATGTGAAGGTGGTGGGAAAGAGGTCAGACTCTTAGACTGATTCATCACTTCCTCACCGTTCTACAGCTTTGTAGTGAGCTAAGAATGTGGTTCTTATTTGTGTTGTTTGGTGGGGCACCCAAAAACAACAGCTCACCCTCAAAAGGGGTTCCACTCGTTCTTCTTGCCCGGAATCTTCATAACCCGGAACAAATGTGATAAAGTCCAAAGAGCCATAGAGTGAAGAGAAAGTTCATCTACAAATGGGCGCTTTGCAAGGTTCCGTGTCAATCTAGGGAGTACCTACCCGAGTTTTGATTTGCTTGTACCCTAGGTTTGGGGTCAATCAGCGTAAATCAGGTTGCTTCGACGTGATCGCTAAGTTCCAAACAGAAACAGGAAATCCTAACCTAGCTGGAGGCTTGATTTTGGAGCAAGGGGTCAACAACAGCCAAGCTGAAGCCCCTTTTCAGGTTCCTTCCGTTAAATTGCAGTGTAGATTTCAACGGGATGGTCCCGCCATTGGGCTTTTGTTTTATGTTGTTAAGAAGATTCGGACCGGGACCCCAAACTTGTTTTTCGGGTTCATGTTGGTCTGCCTTTAGAAGAACCTCAAAAAGGGTACACACCAAAAAAAAAGGCAGACCCATTTTGTTTGTTTTTGGGCTTTGGGCACTTTGGGCCCTTTGACCACTTTGCCAGGCATGGATTACAGCTTGTCCGTCCAGACAGCCCCGCTGCAAACCTAAAGTTGCTTTAAGTCCTTCGCCACCCAGTTCACCCCCACCACGCCAGTTAACAACCCCACTTCCTGAGATCTTGGAGCTACTTTCTGGGACCATTTTGGCAAAAAGGTCGGACTCGTTTAGCTCCAGTCATGAAGTGAGAACCCTGGAAAGGGACGTGTCATCGTTCAACGAATGTGTCAACAAGGAGAATTGGAGCATATGTATATATATATATATGTATTGATTTGGGCTGGAGAGTTGGCGGCTTTTGTTGTTTCCTCACAGATGGAGGTTCCCCACCAGTCTTCCCGTTCAGCGAGTCGAGCTCTCCCACCAGGAACTCCTTGCACGGCGGCAAGCCCTTCGTTTGGAGCCTCCGGGACAAGGCCAAGGCGTCCAAGGCGCCGTCGCCGCCGCTACCAGCGAAGGCGGAAGCGCCGGAGGAGACGGTGGCGGAGGACATGATGGAGAGTGGGGGGGGGAGACACAATTCGAGCATATGTTGCAGCCTACCCGAGAAAAAAACAAAGAAAGGCCCTCAATGAATGAGGTTGCAAAATAGACCCGTTCAGTATCCATTGTGCGGAATTTGGCCTTACTTGTTCAAAAAGCTCTATAGCCATGGCCTGATCATATTAGGTTGTTTCCGAAAAGGCTACAATAAGTGTGGCCTATGTCTATCACTTGTGGATGAGTATAGACCCATTTAAGGGACGGCCCACGTTGGTGTCACGGCCATGTGCCGAGGATGAGCCGCTGAAGATCTCTTTGGTGCCGAGGCCTAGGCCGGGGCTTTGCGGAAGTTCCTTCCCGATATGGGTGTGGGTTAAACCAACAGGGGACCGCAGATTTGGGTCCATGTTTCCACTTACCAGGGTTCCATTTGGGGTACCTTGTTTTGACCCACAGGCATATGGCAAAGGCCATCCGTTTTCGGAGTCTACTTAGCTCAGTCCCTCAGTTCCTGGAAAGCTGTAGTCACTTGTTGTGCTTGGACCATTTTAGTGGCACATGAGAAGTTTGGTTACCTGTTTTTGGATCCAATCCACTGCCTTGAAGTGAATCAAGGGCCCTCTTCTCCTGGAGTTTTTTGCAGTGGACCTGGGCTTAGTCCAATGTCTTGTAGTCTCAGGCCCAGCCTCACACTTCCTTGGCTCTTGTCTCATCTCGCCCAACCCGCAACATGAGTGGTGCACCTCTAGGTGTTCGAGGTCCCCCAGTAGCGCCCTTTTGCCAACCTTTTTTTGGGGAGCGTCTTCCTACTAAAAAACGACTACAGAAAAAGTTGGTACTCTTATTCTAACCTCTCTACTGTCTCTACTGGATGAGCCTAGTTTTTCATGGTTTGCTCCACCCGAAACTGGAAGAATTGTGAACCTGCAACCTTGAGGATCGGGAGAAGCACTGCATTTGGACTCTTGTCAGAGCTTTGTCGAGACCTATCTGACTCAGAGTTCCGTTTTGGACTCGAGCCGCTTTTCGGGGGAGAAGACCATTGTAAGCAGAATGTTTGGATACTTTTCTTACCAATAAGCCCCAAATGCCTGGTCTCTCCCAAATGTTTTTCCTTGTTGCTTCCTTTAACCCCACCCCCCAAAACGGGCACCATCGGAGAAAAAAACAAACATACACCAAACGGGTTGGTCTCCCTGCGAACCTCGCCCCGTCAGAAGCGACTCCCGTGCGAGGCCCAACGAGGCGCGGTCGGCCATGAGGAAAGTGCTGGGCCAGTGGCGAGACGAGGCGAGCCGCAAGCGGCAAGCGGCAAGGGGCCGCTGCACGCGGCGTGTGCGTGTTTTTTTTTTTGGGGGGGGGTGTTACGTGTGAGTTGGCTTACTCGGTGAGTTGCTGAAATTTTGGTGTGGTGTGTTTCTTGGTTGGTTTGTTTCTGTGTGTGGCTGGTTTGTTTGTGGCTTGGTTTGTTCCTTGTGCGGCTGTTTTTTGTGGCTGGTTTGGTTGTTTGGCTTAGTTGCATTGTTTGCTTAGTTGGTTGTTTGTTTGCTTTGCCGGTATGTAGGTTGATTTGGCTGGTGTTAGGGCTGGGCTGGGCTGGGCTGGGCTAGGCTGGGCTGGGCTGGGCGGTTGGTTGGCTGGTCTATTTGGAGATGTGTCCAAACTACGTGGCCTTGTTGGGACGGTGTTTGCTGGGAAGAGGACTGGTTTGCGTTGCTTAGAAGTTCCAGTAGAATGGTTTTGCTTGGTTGGCTTGGTGTTGGTTGCTTAGAATTGTTGTTGCTGGCATGGTTTTGCTAGGTTGGGTCCATTTTGGGGTTGGTTTTGGTTTGATTGATTTCCTGGGATTAATTTGGTTTGTGTTGCTTGGATGAGGGTTTTGCTTATTCTGTGTCGAGTTGACTTGGATTGTTTTGGGTAGACTTAGATTGGTTCGCTTTGTTTTGGTATTGTGTGTGTGTCTTTTTGTTTGATGTTGTTATGTTGTGTAGTTTATTTGTTGTTTGGTTTGGTTAGTTTGGGTGGGTTGCCCTGATGTGGTTTGGTGCCATTGCTTCAACTTGGTTTGATTTGGTCTGATTTGCTTTGGTTTCTTTGGCTTGGTGTGCATGCTTTTCTTTGGCTCGTTGTTTTTCTCCTTTTTCTTTTTCCGGGTTTGGCTTGGCTTGATTTGGCCTCCTGCAACCTGGACCTGCAAATGTTAGGTCGTTGCCCCTGCACCCATTGTTGTTTGAGGGGCGTTTTGCGGGCCTCGGAATGCTGGCTGCGTGTGGCTTGACTTGGCATATTACGTCACCATGGCGACTGGCGATAGGCACAGAGTCAGTACTTTGTGTCCCTCGACGCGACCGAGGACCATCTGCGGACCAAACCAAAAAAACGCCGGGAAGAGGAAGGATTTGTGTGTGCCCACATGTTCATCAGGCCAGCTTCAATTGGGTCGCTTGGTGCTTGTGGAATTTTTCGTACTCCCCCAACTACTAAGTCACCAAGCCACCAACGAAGGTTCAGGTGAATGCGGCCCAGTAGGTGACAGTTCCTCGCTTCAGGTCGTGGATCTTTTTGGTGCTGCCGGCACGGAAGAAAAATAAGCTCGGCCGACTGGCACGGAGGTTTCGCAAGGAGTAAGACGAATCATATTTGTTTGAGCCTTGCCTGTAGCAGTAACTCCTTAATTACCACCAATTTACCACACATGTACCTCAAAATTACTCCAATTGTGTGATAGAGACAAGGCCGAAATAATTATTGTAGCTTCAGATAAATGTCAGGGTGCGGAGAGTGGGGGAAACTGCACCCAATCGACTCATCGCCTTTCCAGCGCTGCTATGGTAGCCCTGTCGTTCCAAGCTATCAAAGCATTTGGCATGGAGCCTTTGGCTCGTGGACTGTTGCCCCGTTTGGACTGTGCGTGTTGCGAGGCTAGCACGCTGTTGCTCACTTGTCCGAAGCGAATCGACCGGATCTAACCTTGTGGTTTTCTCATGTTGGACCATTTTTACTAATGACCCCAAAAGGTGATATCCTTTTATTTCTGGGTCCTTTGGGCAACTGAATTAAATGAAGAAGACCGAGGCATAAAGGAACAGCCATGACACCAAGGGTCTGGGGGTAACTTCCCACTCGAGACGCGCTCAGTTCTCTGATGTGTTTCAGGGGGCCGACAGCAACCACCGTAGTCGGTTTTCTTTCGATCGCAAGCCAGAAGGCCAAACGCTTCGCTTGGTAGCACCTTTTTTGTGCATCCAGTGTGTACTCCTTATTTGGACAGACCCAAAGACAATATTTGACGCCCATTGGTGTTTGCTCCAAATGGGTCAGCCAAAGGCAGCGGTAAGATGCTACAAAAGAAGGTTCCAAATGCTGCCCTGCTAATTCACATGGAAGCCAAAAATGGGGGGCAAAAGGAGTTTCCGCTGCAAATCGTTTTTTTTTTTGGGGGGGGGTCATGTTAAACTGCAGGCGAGTAATCTCAATTACTCTTGATGGATGAATAAGGGGCCTATTGGTCCAAGGTTTTCATGAGTGGGGGACCTGGCGCAGATCGGAGATTTTCGGAGTTCGGAGCCTGTCACGGAACAAGAGAAATCTCACGAATGCCCTAGGGACCAACCCCCTATTGAAAGAAAGGTTTTTCCCGAGATTGGATAATGACAATCCTAAAAAAAACAAAAACAAAACAATGGTGGTTCTATGACGGTAGACACCGGTGAAATATATATCACCCCCCCATTGTTTGATGGTGGTAGCTGAACCCCAGGGAATGGTCTGCTCAGACGCTCAGACGGACCCGGACTTGGAGGCGACCAGGCCCTGCTGGCACTTGGCCCCTTTTTCACGGCCAGGAGCACTAGCCCGGGCCTTCCGAAACATGGGCAAAACCGCCCCCAAAGACCCCCAAGCGCGAGCGACATGTTCGTTGTTTCGCCGTGGGAAATGTGTGGTATCCGCAAATAACAGGGAGATCACCCATGAGTTTGGGCTGCACCCCCAGTTTGCTGAAGCTTAGGTTCTGCTAAACATACCCCCTGCCCATTTGCCATCTACAAGAACTAGCGGGATCACCAATCCAAACCGCCAACTGAGTACTGTACCTGTTAGTTTCTGCGTGTCTGGGTTCCCCGCAATACCAAAACAACATCGTGTTGCTTTCGAGTGGCGAATTCGAACTCCCGAGAATTCGAGGACTCCTGCAGCGTGAAGACCTTCCGTGCAGACGGCCGAGTCCGCTTCACCAAAGCCATGCTGAGGCGAATCGGCGAATCCGATGTCAGTTGGAAGCCGAGCATCCGCAAGGGTGGTGTGCATAACTTGCGATCGGTGCACAGGAAGCTGAGATTAGGGACGACTTCTCCACAAGTTGTTGGGAACTTACTGGGGGGAGGGGGGCTGATGGGGGGTGCGCGTAACTTGCTCGTGCTCTAAGTAGGGAATGTGAATTGGAATGAACCCAGGCTTTGGTCCCCGAATAAAGGAAACCACCACTTGGCTGGTGAATATAGTCATGCCATTTCTCATTGCCTGCTCGATAACAGGTTGGATTTGTGTTTTTGTGGATCTCACCTTGTCTTCCCCCAGTTGGTCCTGCAGTTATCTTGCACAAAAGCAACATCCAAGCCGTTTTCTCGAGGATTGTGTACAAGGATTGGATGCACATGTGTAAGCTTTGCATGTATGTTTTCTTTTTTCAGGGCACCCCGCAGAGGGTGGTCTTCCTTTTGGTTTCCCTTTACGACTTTTGCCAAAAGTGGGTTCCCCAAAACAAGACAGACCCAGCAATATACATACATATATTTATACATATTATGCTGCATGTATTATAAACATATTTGCCTATTTCATGGCGATCTCACCTGAGCTAACATGAGCTCGCTTGAAGGCGTGGTGGGTTAACCATGAATCCTGGTTGCAGCGTGGGTGAAAGCGACGGACCTCTCCATGATGGGCTTGGGTGTGTTTTCGCCCCGCGTAAAGTGACAGATGTGTGTAGCCTTGTTGGAAGCATGCCGGTTCCCCCACTATGTCTCTCCCTCTCTCTCTCCTTCTTTCTCTCTCTCTCTCTCTCTCTCTCGCGCTCTCGCTCTCTCTCGCTCTCTCGCTCTCTCTATATCTCTCTTTCCCTTGTTTTTCTCTCTCTCTCTCTCTCTTTCTTTCTCTCTTTTGGATTTTAATTGAGGACCCTTGGTTTTGTGAAATGGGAAAGCCGCCCCCTTTGGAGTGTCCAAATCTTATACCTCCCGCCCACTAACCAATCTTCCAACCTGGACCTTCTGTTTGGGTCCATGTTGGAGGCAGTGTATGCAGCGCCTAGTTTAGCTTTTTGCAGGATATCAACGACCATCCCGGCCGTGTTTAGGGATCTATCCCGTGAGAGAGGGTTTCTACACTTTCAGGTGTCCCTCTTCTCAAGATCTGCAAGCAACCTATTGTTGGAAGTCATTTAACTTCTTTCTCTTTATGACACCAAACTTTCTTCATGGACCTCTCTGTTAGAGGCTATGGGATTCAATCCCTGGAGCCTCATCCAGGTGATCCGTCCCAATTCCCTCGCTTCAAGCTTCAAGCAGGGAGGTCCATGTCATGGTTGTTGTTGGGAAACATTTTACGTATTTTAGCTTATTGTGGTTTAGTGGCTGAAATCCAAATCCACTTAACTGCTAAAATTTGAGAATTTTTGCTCCCCTTCCAACGTCAACCAAGAAATGTTTCTCTTTGAGGCATAGCCCGCAATTTGCAGTCGGCTTGCGAGAAGCTGAACGGACACCACCCAGGTTTGGGGTGCCCCTACGATTAAGAGACATGTGCCCACACTCAAGCGGATGGATTTGAGTTTCTGGTGGTTACCCTTAGTTGGTTTGGGGATTGGGTTACCTTCGAGCTTAGGTGTTTTGGGTTACCCTTAATTGGTGGTTGGAGGTTTGGGGATTTGAACCCCTGGTTCTTGTAGAGATGACCACCGCGCCACCAATCCAAAGCACCAAATGGAAGGAAGCACATTTTTCTGCCTGGCTTTACCCCTGTGAGGTACGACACCGAATTCCAGTGCGTGATGTGGGGCAGGACCTTGGATCCGTCCGTGTCGCGAGTGGAGGTCGGGGATTCATGGAAATTGCGTGTTCAGCGGCT